TCTCTCTCTCTCTCTCTCTCTCTCTCTCTCTCTCTCTCTCTCTCTCTCTCTCTCTTTTTTATACAAACTACAATTGAGTATTTACGGCAAGAGGATTATTGATTGTAATCGACCATTATCACCCTTCCATTTTGTGAAACGGGTTTTTACAGAAAGAACAACCTATATTTTCTACATTCAACAATCATTTGGTAGATTATCCAAGTCCTAGCAATCTCAGCTATTGGTGGGGCTCTCTTGCTGGTGTTTGTGTCCATGCGTGTGTGTGTGATGATGTGTTCACATGCGTGTGTGTGTGATGATGTGTGTGAACACCTATTGTGGGAGCCTCAGTACACAATTTATATGCACTCCAAACCACTGTCACTACACGGGCTAAACTCACTCAAGTATATCCCGCATTCTTCACCTTTACAAACCGAAATCGTCACAACCAGGATGCTACGCTACCGCTTCTTCCCCGTACTCAACAGATAAACTACAACAGATACAAGAATAGAGTATAGAAGGGATTTTAATATCATTTTATTCAAGAATAGTTGCAGATTTACATCATCATCCGATCCGATCATTCATGACGAGCACAGAATAGCACTTCTAATGATCGGATAGACAACAACATACTGGCAATTCTTTCAATCATACTCTTACATCGACATACATGAATAGCACAGAATAGCACAGATTCAATCATACAGGTCCGGAAAACGCCTACTAGAAACTGAGAGCTTTCAATCCAATTTTTTGTCAAGCAAGATACAATTACCCAGATCATACCCACAGTATATACCAGATTGGATGCCACCTCGGACACTGCAATCCTTATCATGAACCTAACGAAAGCAAGACAATTGCTAGACCAAAAAGAATTGTATGTAGAGGAACAATCAACACATCATTGATGAAAGACCAATCCCTAACTAAATCCGTGATCAATAGTGCTCTCATTTATAAAGTTCTCGAAGACACTGTACTTCATGCACACCCCCACTCCATCAATCACGTAAGAGAAAACACCAGTCAATTAACCAATATTCCAAACACGAGGTGCGCGTTATTACAGCTAGTAGTACGCTCCTTGAAGCTCCCGCCGCAATTATGTACAACTCTGAACTCAGTAGCTTACCCTCCAATCTCGATATTATTCACACCAGTCACTGGTCGCCTATCTCACCAATCGCCCTCCCAAAAGGTCGAATCACATCTGCAATCACCACCAAACCTCCATTCCACCTATCATGGGACGAAAATCTCAATTTTTCACGACCGAAGGTGGTGGCCCTATGCAATCTGCCCCACATCCTCATCTCGACCATACACTTCCCCCACAACGACAGTGCCATCATTAGGATAGCCGTCATGCCGTGTCCTGTTTCCCATGACTACACCACATATCACCCTCACCCGTGGTACACCATCTCCCCGAACCTCTGTAGAATAGAGCTAGCCCGTCAACTTGTCACCAAATTGTTAATGTGGGTGTGTGTCTCTGCACATATTCCAACGACGCAGCTTTTTCGCTCAAATTGTCCTATGTAAACTGTTGTTCAGCATCATACTGGGGAACAGGATTCATACAAATGTTTGCACATATTCCAACTACGCAGCTTTTTCGCTCCTCGACCACAGTTCAAGTCCTGTTACCACAACTTCGTTTTCACTCTGTCAGGAGAGCAGAGCAGAATAAATATAGGAGGCGGCGTGTGGAGCAGCGTCTTACAAACAACAGCGGAGTGAGCAGCATAGACCGCGCGATAGCGACCAGTGAAATATCTGGCGATTCCCTCCGCGCGTTGAAGCTCACACTGCCCATTGGCGGTGCTTGAGTTCTGCAATTTGGTGCGACCTTCTGTGACATTTGCGGTGCGTGTCTGGTCACTGATGAGTCCGACGGGACAAAACACGCGATAAAAGTTTCGGCGCGCTTTACTGGCTTGCGCGTTTTGAGTTTAGTGGGAGCTTTTGGTGAAAGTCGGAGCGGGCGCTGCGGCGTAGGTGCAAGGGGGTACGCCAGCCTTTTGCAAGTGTGTCGTAGCGTATAAGTTTCTACGGAAACTGATAAGACTTCATATGGCTCAGCGTAGGGAGCAAGCGAAGCAGGAGGCGGCGTGTGGAGCAGCGTCAAGAGCGGCGCGAGTGAGCAGCGTGGACCGCGCGATAGCGACCATTGAAATATCTGGCGATTCCCTCCGCGGGTTGAAGCTCACACTGCCCATT